CGGTCTGCTGCTGCTGTTACTGCTGCCGTTGGGCTTGGCCGGCGTCGTAGCCGGGGTTGGGGGCGTGCTGCCCGTACTGGCCTGCCATGACGGACCCGGTAGCCCGTCGAAGGGTGCTGGAAGAAGAAGACTCTATGAAAAGCCGTGAGCCGACAAACCATAAACAGGGGAAGCGAGCTGGACACGATGTGCGCCGGCTTTCATCTGTAGCAGTGCGCAAGTGTCAGGAGGACCACTAGGAGAGCACTTGGCCCCTACCTACGCAGGCGGCAGCTGCATTATAACACCATCTACCTCCGCTGTACCTCCTAACAGCCATGTCTCGAAATCTTGGGACATCGAGGCGGGTGGAAGCTCTAGATGCCGGCGTGGAGGTTGTGGAATACGATATGTCGGCTGGCGGGGACTGACTGTTCAGGCATGACGTTGGTAATATTGATAGGCGGATAGCCAGCCGGAGAAGACGCCGTACGCTTCCGCTAGCGATCCAAGTCTTGATGCTCCTCGGCGTACAGCTGTTCCCGGATGTCCCTCGGCACGTCATCGTGGGTCTGTAGTGTGTGGCCTTGCTCTACTCGCTTGATCATGCTAATATGTAATGCTTCCTGCTCATAGGGTCGCGCCGGCAGTGGGCCACACCTTCAGCACCAGCCGAAGCGGCAGCCCCTGTTCCCTGTTCCCCGATGCCGTCAGACAGCTCCACATCCGCCCCTGGTCCGGCGGATCTGCTTTGTGCAGCAGCACCAGTCGATCGCGGTGCCCACCTCCACTCCTCCCCGCCAATGCTGCTGTACCATGCGCACTCCCTACAGCCCCGCCGATGCAGTACCCTCCTGTCAGGCCGCTGCTGCTGCTGGTGGGCGCCTGCCCCGCACGGCACTGATGTTGAATTAAAGTCGCAGGCCATGCATTATGGAGCAAACAGCCCTGGGCAAAGGTAACCTTGGTGGGTGTCTTTGGTCGCTGCCTGCCTAGCCCTAGCTTACCGGTGGCCCCGCCCGCCATTCGCTCGCGGCCCAGCTCAAAGGCGCCGGAAACAGCACAACGTCCACCGCCACTGAACGCCCTCGACTTGGGCGATTCGCAACAAGGAGCACAGGTAAGGCCACTGGCTAGTCAAGGAACGGGCCGGAGGGCAGCCCTGACGGCATTGAAGAGCTGACACAAAGGAAGCAGGCGCCAAGACAAGGGCTGAGCTAGATTAGTCGGTCTCGACAGGGCTGAGCTAGACTAGTCGGCCTCGACAGGGCCTCTGCGACCGAAAAGACTCTCCTACCTACCGTGACCCGGCCACGTCTCGCCCCCTCTACCTCTGGCGAGAACACCTTCGGCTGAGCCTTCGAGACCGACGCCACGAGCCACACATTATCGGCCGAGCCCACGGACCCCAATTACGTATCGAGCCGGCCGACATCTTCCTCGACAGCGGCGACAGTCTCAGAGTGCGGCTTGCGACAGGAGGATCCTCCAGCGCCGTTCAGATCCAACAAGGTCGCGAGAAAGAGTGAACGCACCGAGCTAACGCCAGCGTGTCCTCCGCCATTACCGA